TCAAAGTGGTCACAATGGGATAAAATTTCTGATATTAGAAAGTGTGAATTGCATATACCATTCTCATCAACATAGATTCTGAACACAGTGCTTGCATGAACCTGAGGGTTAAGAGAGACCCTATGTATACTATGTTTATAGCTATGCACACATAACTGCTTCTGAGACAGTTTATAGGATACACCTGTAAAATATTAACACAAACACCTGGTGGTAGTATAGAAATATAATAATGACAAAAGAAGACCAAGAGTTATGTAAGTGTAAACTATACCAAAATATTCAGTTGGGTATCAAATAACTAGAGACAACTGACATATTTCCCAATATGCTCCTGATGTCTATATGGCTCAGGTCTCAGGTCTATATGGCTGTGAAGTCACTTATTATATTTGTACTCAGGCTTAAGATCTGTCAAGAAAACAAGGATGTCCTCTAACTGAGAAGCCAAGCAAGCTGTGACATTTTATATTGTCACAACCCCACCCCAAATCTTCTGCCATGAGATTTGTCATGAGAAGCAACAATTTGGAAAGGACACTGCATAAATCAAACACTTAGTAGGCACTAAAAGACTCAAAATGATTAACAATACTGCTAAAGCCAACCTCTGTAATTTTTTCTTATCAGTCTGACCAGCAGGTTAAAACAATTATCATGTTCTTTGTTCTGGCTTAAATGTAATGCCAACTTCAACATAAAAAAATAGGCAGAACAAGAGAGTGAAGGTGGGGGTACAGAGATTCAGAATAGAGTAAATTGGCAGAGAATAGGACCACAAAGGGACAATGCCTCACTTTCACAGTTCAGTGGACAGAGTAGATAAAGTGTCATTCAAATCATGGAATAAAGTCTATGGTGTAGAGAAAAGAGACCCATAGCCTAGAGGAGGACCTGGGGAAGTCATCTCATCCTAGAGCTTAGACAATGAGCTCAACTTTGATAAAGGTTTGTGTCATTGAGACATCTTTAAGCTGTGAAAATTTTTAGTATTTCTTCAACTAAGGTGCTGGAAGATTTTGAACTTTTTTTCTTTACAGTTTTTGTTCTAAATTTCCCCCCATTGGTCCTTTTTTTGAATTTTTATTTCATGTGTATTGGTATGAGAGTGAGAGATCCCCTGCAACAGGAGTCATACATAGATAGTGGTGAACAACCATGTAGGTGCTGAGAGAGTAGACAGTGCTTTCAACTGCTGAGCCTTCTCTCCAGCCATGGACTTTGAACTCTTAATTGACATCTCATAATGGCCCTGGTCTATACAGCATTTTGAAGATGTCGTTCAAACTGACTCCATGTCTAGAGGAGACAGGCTTTGATTTTGGTGTCCTGAATATTTCACACATTTAACACATCTTGAGAACTTCATTGTAGTTACTTTTTTCCACCTACCAAATCCCAAAAGACCTGTGGAGAGCCTCAAGCCATCCTGAGGCCCATTTGCCTCAGTCTAAGCCTTGAACCTTCTCCCATTGTGAGAGTGTCAGGCCTTCTCCTGCACTGTGTCCCCCAGTAGGAGGCCCTTGACTGGGGCATCTCACACCCCACCACCCACCGAACCCCCAGAGACCTGGGGGCAGCCCCAAACCATCCAGCACTGCATCTGCTGTCATATAAGCTTTGGCCCTGCCCCTACCCAGAGAGGTGAATGCAGGGTCTTCTCCTTTTCCTCTGTGTTGGATACTCTTGACCGGGCATATCACCCCATTGTACCCACTAAATCCTCAGAGACCTGGGGACAGCCCCTAACCATCCAGCACATCATCTGCCATTATTGGAACCTTGACCCCGCCCCCACCTGGAGAGAAAGCCCAGTGACCTGGGGGCACACTTCTCAAACCCCAAGTCATCCATCACTGCATCTCCGACCATTGGAGCCTTGGCCCTGCCCTCACTGGGAGGGGAATTTCAACCACCTAAGCCACAGGACCCACCTACACCAATCTGAGATAAAGAGATCCCCTGAATCACTGGCCCCACCTGCACCCATTGGAGGAAGAGATGGGTAGCTGAAAGTTTAAAAACACACTAAATTTCAGGCAGTCCCATTTATTAATTGTGAATCTCAGGGTCTGTGCTACTGATGTTATATTCAGGAAGCAGCTCCTGTCCCAATGCATTCAAGGGTATTTCCCACTTTCTCTTTTAAGAGATTCAGTGTGGCTGGATTCATGTTGAGGACTTTGATCCATATGGACTTAATTTTGTGCTTGGTGGTAGACAAGGATATATCTGCATTCTTCTACATGTCCACATCCAGTTATGCCAGGACCATTTGTTGAAGACGCTTGCTTTTTTCCATTGTATAGTTTTAGCTTTTTGTCAAAAATCAGGTGTTCATAGGTGTACAGAATAATACCAGGGTCTTCAATTCGATTCCATTGGTCTACCTGTCTGTTTTTGTGCCAATACCAAGCTGTTTCCATTAATATAGCTCTATAGTGCAGCTTGAAGTTCCCCTATAATGAGATTGATGACTACTTTAAATGTTATCATTAGAGCCTTTGTTCAGTAGTTGATGGAAGCAGAGGCAGAGGTTCACAGTTGAGTACTGAGACTAACTCCTGGAATCCAGTTGTAGAGAGGGAGGAGTGATAAGCAAAAGGGTCAAGACCATGCTGGGGAAAAACACAGAGGCAGATGATCTGAGCATGTAGGAGTTCACAGACCCCAGTCTGAAAGCTGGGGAACCAGCATGAGACTGAAGCAGACTCACTGAATGTGGGTGTCAGCTGCAGCTCTGGTCCATGAGGCCTCTGGCAGTGGAACCAGTATTTCTCCATAGTGCATGAATGGGTTTTGGGAGGGATACTCACCAAGCCCAGATACACAGGGGAGGGCCTATGTCCTGCTTCAAATGATGTGACAGATGTTGATGATACATCATTGGAGGCCTCACTCTCCTTGGGGAGTGAATGGGGGTGGGATTAGGGCTTGGTGAAGGGAGTCGAAGGACAGGGGAGAAATGGAACTGGTATTGGTATGTAAAATAAGATTGTTTTTCATTTAAATAAAAGTTAATTTAAAAAATTAGAGCCAGGAGTTGGTGGTGCACGCCTTTAATCCCAGCACTCAGGAGGCAGAAGGAGGCAGATCTCTGTGAGTTCGAGGCCAGCCTGGTCTCCAGAGCGAGTGTCAGGATAGGCTCCAAAGCTACACAGAAAAACCCTATCTCAAAAAACCAAAAAAAAAAAAAAAAACGGACAAAGATAGGGTGTCCTTCTGTATGCTGTGAATATATGTTTCTCTTATTGATGGATGAATAAAGCTGTTTCTGCCAATGGACAGGCAGTACATAACCAGGCAGAAAGTACTTGCAGGACTACCACACTAGGAGAATTCTGGGAAGAGTAACGGAGAGAGAGAGTTATGGGGGAGATGCCTTGTAGATACCAGGAAGATACCATCCCTGGGGATTCTTTAGTAAGCCACGGACCTGTGGAGATACACAGACTAATAGAAGCAGGTTAGTAATTAAGAGAGAGCTAGCTGATAAAAAGCCTGAGCCATTGGCCAAACAGTTTATATTTTAAAAAAGAAAGATCAGGCTATTTCACCCTTGGCCAAATTCCCAGAATCCTACATCTTGCTACAAATATTTTCTCTGTGAGAAAGTAAAAGTGAGAGGCACTCACTTTTCACACATTTTTCAATATTTTATGAAAGCCCTATAAACACCTACCTATGAACATAACACTTGCAATTTTTACAGGGCCTTTTGACCCACAAAGGCCCTCTGTCACACCCTGTTTCAGTCTGTGGTTGTTCATGTATCTTCCCTCAAATGTTCATCATCTCCTCCTAGAACCCATTTCTTAACAGACACAAAATGAAAATTCCCCCCCAAAAAAAGTCTTAAATGTTGAGGTGCCAATTATTTGGGATGTAATAAAATCATCAGCAATTAGAATGTAATTAGAAGTGGCTCATGGTGGAGTCCTTGCAGGTTAGATTGTTGGTTCCTAACTCCTTACTGAACTCTGTAACTTTCACAGTAACTCATGAATAATCTCACCAATTTAAAATGCATTCTGCTAATGTCTCAAGTACCCAATGTCCCCATGTTCCCTGTCACACTATTCTTATCTTTACCAACCACCAGGTAATTCCTGTTGCTGTCACTGACATTTTTGGGAATCTGAGATGCCCCTATAAAATACAAGGACTTGTCTGCTCTTTGAGCAACCATCTCAAGCTTTTCTATCCATATGAAGAACAAAGGGAGGCAGCATCTTCCACTGAATGGAATGTCACATCATTGGGGGTGGAGGAATATAGGAGAAATCAGGTTCCTGATTAACACAAAAAGTGATGGATAGATTGCTGCATGCATAGAAGACTGACAGGGCTTGCTTTCACTGTTATTATAAATCTCCAATCACAGTCTTGTGATGATAACCTTACTCTTTCTCAATCACATGTTTTTGCTTTGCCTCATGAGGTGTGTGATTCCAACTTTCATAAATGGTAGATTATAGCTACTATCTGGCTCATGGCAGACTGGGCCTCATACCTCTGGAGCAGTTGTAGGAAAAGTGACCAGGGGATTATCCATAACAAGAACTTCAGGAACTGATGTGCTATAACAGATGTAAACTGATGTAGGCTTAGTGTGTTCAAGTTTTCGGATTAAATAGTAGCTGTGGTTGCAGAGTCTTGTGCCTATGGAGTTTAACTTCCATAGAACATATATTATATGTACAGAGCATCCAGGAAGTTGTGCAGCCATCCATCTGATGTGAAAAGTGGGGATAATTTGTTAAAAACATATTTATCATGTACTCCTCAAACCAGCCCAGACCAAAGAAAGGCTGTGAAATGTGTTACATAAAGGGGGAAAATGTCTAGGTGCCAAGAATTCTGCTAGAATCAGTTGAAAGTACCACTAGCGGAAGGAACCTGAATGATCCTTAAGATTTACCTTCCAAGGACAAATATTTTCCCCAAAGAAGTTTTGTATTGTTTTCATTCAAGAAGTGAATTCTGAAAAATCATGCAAGTTAAATGTCTATAATAACATTAGATGACTCTGAACCCTTTATCCAAAGAATGCAGTGTCTGAAGAGAGGGGAGGATTGACTCATAAGTACAAAGGGGCTTAAAGTGGGAAAACACAAACTTATAATGCTTGTGATTGTCATTGGCCACCAATTTTGATGAGACAATAGAGCACTGCAACCATGTGAGATGGTAGAGAGGGTATAAAAAGCCAAAAAGGTAAACACAAGGACAAGGATGTTCTGGGTGGCTCTGGACTCAGGAGAGTTACTGTGGAAAGCACAAGCGCTTCGGATGTGTTGAACTTTCTGTTTATGCCTATACAAAAAGACAATCATTGAGATGCTAGACCAGGTGATCAGGACAGAAAATAGAAGTTCAGGAAACACAAAGAAAGCTGTATATAAAGAGACTGTTACTCTGTCATGACCTACAACAGTATACAGTTCAAAACCTGTCTCTTTTGTTCTGTTTTTCTTTCTTAATTTTATGGACATATACAAAGGAAACAGAACATTTACCATTATGTACAATAACCAGCAGAGAGAAATGCAGAGACCAATGTCCTTGGGAGAGTTGGCTCTAAGATTCTTCCAACAAGAGTTTCTAGGGCTGATGATGATGGCCTGGAAGACACTCAAGAGACAGATTGTGGCAATGGACATGCTTCTGAAAACTCTTTGAACATACATAAAAATTTGGTAGCTCCAATCATTGAAGAAATGTTTCAACCCAAAAGTTATCATTGTGTTGCCCATTCCTTTAGAGAGAATAATCAAGATGTTAACCATGATCAGATGGATGAGAATCAAATCCAAGGTCTTTACTTTGTGTTTCTCTTTATATATAACTAGATAGTAGGAAAGAAGAGAGACATTTCCCAGAATTCCAACAATATTCTGTATCAAGAACATTATTCCTGTTCCTAAATTTCTAGAGTCCATTTTGTTACTGAGCAAAATATGCCAGCAGTCTCTTCTCAGATGAAACTTTTGGATTTTTATAGCTAAGATGGTCCTGTATATTAGATGTCACAAATGCACAAGAATCACATTTGTTGTAGAGTGAATACCCGAGGTGATCAGCACAAATAGATCCTGTCCACACCACCTCTCACAGTTATTTTAACACTAACAGCAACAGTCAGTTAGAACTGCAGAAGTCTTCAAATGCACATGTTAATGGAGTAAGTTCCCATTATACTTCCCACAAAAGTCAGCACTAAGAATAAGACAAAGTTATCCTTGCAGAAGCAATGACCTGCGAGTTCAAAGTGAAAGAATGCTCAATTCCACAAGTCCACCCATACCGGAGAAAAAATCTTCTCTCATCATTTTCTCCAAGGAAGAAATCCACTGTAAATTCCTTTCACCTGTCAATATTAATATTAAAATTGAAAATATTACAACAGGAAAGAGAGTGTTTTATATTCTTTGATAATTCTGTTTATTACATGTCACTAACCATTAGGTGAAAATGATGAATTACATAATGTTATATTAAGAGATAACACCTTAAACTCCACCACCTATACATATACATGTAAGAATTAGGAATTAACATGCAGATGGGCGTTGGTGGCACACTCCTTTAATCCCAGCACTCGGGAGGCAGAGGCAGGCGGGTCTCTGTGGGTTTCAGGCCCGCCTGGGCTCCCGAGCAAATGCCAAGATAGGCTCCAAAGCTACACAGAGAAACCCTGTCTCAAAAAAACAAAAAAAAAGAATTAACATGCAAAATTAAGATGAGGAGAGAGAGGAGAGGAAACACACTAAAGAATAATTATCTAACACAATGGAGAGAAAACAGGTGAATGATTCCAAAAGAAATTCGTTAGAAGAAGGCAATACACTTTTGATAATAAATACAGAAAGAATGCCCAGTGTTCCTACCTGATATATTATCTGGTCCATCACTCAGCATTAAAATGAGAAGCACAGGTCATAGGAAACAGTAGCTCCTGGTAAACATGTGGATGAAACAAGAGTCCTGGCTATGATGTTCACATTACTTCATAAAGCTTCCCAAATGAGAGGCTGAGAGTATGCAGAACAAATGTTAACATCCAGGTGGAAAACCTAGCCTTTATGGACTAGATGGGCCTTCACAGATGGTGCTCATACCTAACATCCAATGAATTGTCTTGAAAGCAAAGAAATACAAACCTGTGCATTAGCAGTGCAGTGGCTGACTGATGTTTATGCAATGCTGACCTACGCAGCAATGTAAATAAAATCAGGAGTGCATTCTCAGCACTAAAATGCACTAAAATCCACTTTGAAAATGTAAGAGATCTTTCTCTAAGATACAAATTATGCAAAGATCAATACATGTAAACACTGTTCTGGTCTTTTATAGCTTAGCAGAGACTTGAGCCTACCTCTAATAATTTCCAATCCTGCAAATACACAATAAACTCTAGTACTGATGCATGACTTAAGTCAAAAGGAAGCTAGTTAATGAAATCATTTTCAGTTGGGTGCATGTGTGTTCAGAAACATCTTCTTAGTAATGACGGCTGGACTGGAATACACAACAATGCTCCTGCCTCAGTCCATGGATTCCTCTCTGGACATACAAAGCCAATGTTCAGTCTCTTGATCTATGTGTGACATAGTGAGGTGACTTTCACTTTTGATCTGTTAATATATAAACAAACACACAACTACAAGGATATATTTTTAACACAAGAGCTGCCAACATCATGAAGACACTTTAAAGACAATTGCAGCAGTGGAATTCACCCTGTGTTTGAAAATCGTATGTAAGAATCAGAACCCCCAGTCTATGAAGAGAAAGAAGGGGTGATATAAAGAAGAGAAAACATACAGGGGAGGGAGCTTCTTCACACAGATGCAGGGACATAGGGACACAGGAAGACATTAAGTTTTATAATTAATTTCCACTTAAAACCTTTATTTGCTAATGCCTTTGTTAGGTAAAATTTTTGTAATGAATCAACACTTATGAACAACATCTAAAATTATACACAGACTTTTTAAATATGAAATATTATTAACTGCATGACAGAAGATTAAGGGGTAAATATGATATGGGCTGTGGATGTAACCTAAATTTAGGTTCTTGCCTGACATTTACTGGGCTCTAAATTCTGGAAATTTAATGAAAAGGGGAAAAACCTATCCTGATATTGCAGTGGCCTGAGAAAAATCACCAAACAAGGGAAAGTGACAGAAAGTATATTGTACTAGACCAGAATTTTGCAAGACTCATACTAACATTGCCACCTTTATTTCAGCACAGCATTCTCAACTTGGAGTTGGAAAACATTGACACTTAAGAAAGACAAAGGTCCTTCCCAGTCACAGGTGCACTGCTCTCTGGGAACATTTTCCCCAGGAAGGACTAGATCCTGGCTCTTTCCAAGGATTAGATGATTTTCTTAGTTCCATTTCTAAGGTCTATTTACAAACACAAACTCATTTTCTGAAATTTGTTATGCTGCAAAATTAATCCGTGATTCATGTGTACAATTAATGAAAACCTGAATGATGTAATTAACATAACCTTGAACAAATTTTGAAATCAGATTTTATTAGGTATCACAGGTTTCAATAGGCAGCCTGTGGGAGGATTTTGTTACACTTTTGATACAGCAAGAGTTAATAAATTCAGGGAAACTGTCTTCTCCTTAGTAACTTGCCCCACAGTCCAGAAAGACTCCCTGTCCCTTGCCTGATTGTTTGCTGTTCTGTTTCTTCCAGGAATCAATTTTTAAAGATTTGCACTTACCAAATATGCCTTCCTTGCCTTTGAGGATGAAAAACAATATGCTCATCTGACTTTTCCCTCCACAGAACTTTCAAAACATTGTGCAGTTTCTGACATGAGAGTCAACACTAGGCGTGAAACAGGCAGTCCAACCCTAAGATAAAGGTGCATACATCTGTGACCTCACATCTCTTCAGAAATGCAATTTTATCTCACCTGCAGTCACGATGACAGAGCTACCTTGGGGAGCCAAGAACTTTTCTGAAAGTTTAAAGTTGATTACTACCAAAGACATTGACAAGTTCCTTGTAAGCATATCCAATGAGGCAATGAGTTTGGAGAGGTTCTTCAATTTTCCTCATCCCTGGTGGCTGACTAGGATGGAAGGTCCAGTGAGTATCAAAGTCTCATGTGGGAGAGTCCTGTATAAGAAGGTCTATTTGTCTCTTTGGAAATGGCTGGTCTTTTCTGGGATCTCGTAAACAAAATCAATTATTTTTTCACTTTTGGATCCCAGTGCTAATCACTTTCAGAACACACCACTGAACATCATAAGTCAGGAGATGTGGGAATTCTACTGAAGTACAAGTAAAAGAGAAATCACTGTGTTCAATTGTAAACTGGAAAAATAATACAAAAATATGAAATTGTGGAAGTTAGAGGTATAAGTTAAGCAACAACTGCAAGTCTAAACAGAGCCCTGTCACAGAAGAATTTATATATGTAATCATCCCTCAAAAATGACATCAAATGTATCCAATAAATTTCACATAAAAATTGCTACTTTCTCTTTCTTAAACAACTGAATAGAAGCCAGAATAATGTAGTAAATTTTTTTAAACATTTTTTCTCATTGAACTTATATTTTAATGGGTCTCAAAATTCTGTGACAGATATTTGGTCAAGTTTTTTCCATTAAAAAGTGCTGATTTTGAAAACTAATGCTTACAACTGCCACACCCACATAAAGGTCCACAAAATATTCTCCTTTCCTCCTGAAGGTTTTCCAACACATTCTTATCATTAACCAGGCTTAAACTTAAATGGCCAATTGAGACAAACAGTTCTGAGATCCTTCTTCCACCACTGATTAGGACTGGGGTGGCAGGTGTTAGAGATAATATTCATTTAGCCTCTGAGCTTTCTGGGCAGACTTGGTGACTTTGCCAGCTCCATCAGCCTTGTCCACAGCTTTGAGGACACCCACAGCAACTGTCTGCCTCATGTCACAAACAGCAAAATGACCCAGTGAAGGATAGTCAGAGAAGCTCTCAAGACACATGGGCTTGACAGGAACCATACCAACAATGTCTGCATCACTAGATTTCAAGAATTTAGGGCCATCTTCCAGCTTCTTACCTGAACGACGATCAGTCTTTTCTTTAAGCTCAGCAAACTTACAGGCTATGTTTGTTTATATGGTGTATTACATTGATAGATTTTTGTATGTTGAACCATCCCTGCTTTCCTGGGATGAAACCTACTTAATTATGGAGGATGATTTTTCTGATGTGTTTTTGGATTCCATTTGCCAGCATTTTATTAAGTTTTTTTGCATCAATGTTCGTGAGGGAGATTGGTCAGTAGTTCTCTATATTAGTTGTGCTTTTGTGTGGTTTGACTACCAAGGTAATTGTAGCCTCATAAAAAGAGTTTGGTAATGATCGTTCTGCTTCTATTGTGTTGAACAATTTGAAGAGTATTGGTATTAGGTCTTCTTTGAATTTCTGGTAGAATTTTGCACTGAAGTTGTCTGGCCCTGGGCTTCTATTGTTTGAGAGACCTTTGATGACTGTTTCTATTTCATTGGGGATTATAGGTCTATTTAAATTGCTTATCTGTTCTTGATTTAATTATGGTAAGTGATATCTATCCAGAAAATTGTCCATTTCCTTTAAATTTTCCAATTTTGTGGAGTACAGGTTTTCAAAGTATTATCTGGTGATTCTCTGTATTTCCTCAGTGTCTGTTGTTATGTCCCCCTTTTCATTTCTGATTTTGTTAATTTGCATCTTCTTTCTGTGCCTTTTGGTTAGGTTGGATAGAAGTTTGTCTCTCTTGTTGATTTTTTTCAAAGAACCATCTCTTTGTTTCATTGATTTTTTTCTTTTTGTTATTTTAGAGGCACTCATATTTACATATACATCCCTCCATTCCCTCACCATCCCATCCTCCCATGTTCCCCACCAGCCCCCCCAACCCAACCCCCACCTCCTCC